GTAACATATATGTGTGTTTTCAGTGCAACAATTTGCAGATTAAGGTGTGATTTATTTTTTGGTAAGAACACGAAAAAGAGTGTGATTTTCTCTACGCATGAGGTATTGAAGAGTTACTTATGTAAACAGTAAGATAAGCAAATATGTAATTTCTTCATTTATTTGTAGTTTGTATACTTGGATATGACAAGATAATCGATATATTGAGATCTTACTTACACGTAATGATAGATCACCTATGCACAACATTAGTGCATATAAATATACAATATACACGGTACTAATTGTATCTTCTGGAATGAATAACCTATAATTATGTATGCGGCACCGTGGCTGACAGTCTGTAGCCGCTCAAAGCCGCAGAACCGTGTCGCGTGCTTAGACGCAGCGCATGCATTGTCTGCGTCACTGACTCAATCCATGCATAATTAGAATTGCACGATCTCAAAGTCAAAGTCACTGATAGAAGTTTGTGTATTTGTGGTTTTGGAGGACGCGGAATCTGGGCCCGGTTGATCTGGTAAGGGTAGTTGAGGTATCGAAGCGACGACTTCTTTTGTTGTGTATTCAGGCATCGAAATCCAGCAGTGCAGTTTAGTTTCTAGGTTGTAAGCTTTGTCTGGAAATTCTGTGAAAAACAAGCTGAAACAAAATTCTTCCAAAAATCTTTTAGAGAAACATACCTTTGTTTTCTTCGTCCTCGCACTCAGCGGTGGTAGTCATGGCATTATAGTTACCTGATTCAATCTCTTTTAATATTCGTTCGACTTCTTCCACTGGTAGAACTGGCAGTCTGGAAAATATAGGTTTACAAAACTTCAAAAAAATTTAGCACTTCTAAAAAATCTTGGCTAAACTTACGGTTTATCAAAAATTCTTTCATACGGTAAAAATCTATGTCGAATTGGTCGGCGGAACATGGGTCTACCTTTTTGATCCAGGAAGAATATGTGACCATCCTGAAAACATAGTTGTCGAAATAATCGAGTTTATTAAGATCGATAAATTATACGGGAAATAATACAAGAGCTTGAATTCTTACCCCATACTCATCTTTCTTGCAAAGAAATTTTTTGGTAGGGAGAGAGCTTCTGCGAATGATTCTGCAACCGTTCCGGACCTACAAAAATTTAAAAAAAATCAAAGTAAAGTTTGTGAAATATGGTGTTGAGCATTCAGTGAGATGGACCAGCAAGCAAACCAACAACTTACTGTGGGTTTCGGCCATTTGCCATAAAATGAATTCAAGAATGTGGAATTCCGATCATATTGAGTCTTCTTAAAAGAAGAGCTTTTTTTGCTAGTTGATGGAAGAACTAGAAAAATGAATTAAACCTCGTCTGAAGAAGCGCTGAGCAGCTCAGTCAAACATGGAAAGGATCGACTAGATTGCATACTTGAACGATTGCCAGATAAAAAATATTCTTCTTCATATGATGAGACAGCAAAAATAGAGGACTTCGATTGGTTCGACGAGTGTAGATCAAATCGTTGGTATTGAGTAAAATGGACGGTCTTCTTTACATCGAGCCTTGCCTTTGTTTACTTTGTTTTTGAAATTCTGAATTAGTTGTAATTTTTTGTCAATATGCTTAAAATGAATTTCATTTTGCTTGCTTCTATTTCTGAGTAGGTTTTCTTGGGCTAAATATCACATTAATATGCTGATAAAATAAAATAAATAGAAAATTTTCTATAAGCGTCAAAATTAGTTGGCTTCAAGGTTTTGAAAATGTAATAGAAATAAAATTTTCTCAAGAACATTTTGAAAATGTAATAAAATATAGCTTTCTCAAAAACAATCTGGTAGGAAAAATTTACGAAATTTACGAGCTGCTCACCTTTCATCCGGTTTGTGAAGAAAATTTGAAAAGCTTCCTATTCCTGTGCCTACGTCGACTTGGCATCGTTTCAGTCTTATTGAATTATATTGGATTATTGCATCTGTGTTTATTGAACTGACAGGAAAATCCAGCATAATATTAGGTCGCGCCGAAAGTTCTGTCCGTTCATT